AAAGATGATTCAGTAAAAGTGCTATACTAAATATGCCAGCAAATTTGGAAAACGCAGCAGTGGCCACAGGATTGGAAAAGGTCAGTTTACATTCCATTCTCAAAGAAGGGCAATGCCAAGAATGTTCAAACTACCGCGCCATTGCACTCATTTCACATGCCATCAAAGTTATGCTCAAAATCTTACAAGCTAGGCTCCAGCAGTATGTGGACCAAGAACTACCAGAAGTACAGGCAGGATTTCAAAGAGGGAGAGGAACTAGAGATCAAATTGCCAACATATGCTGGATCATGGAGAAAGCTGGGGAGTTCCAGAAAAACATCTACTTCTGCTTCATTGACTGTGCTAAAGCCTTTGATTGTGTGGCTCACAACAAATTGTGGCAAGTTCTTAAAGAGATGAGAGTACCAGACCATCTTATTTGTCTCTTGAGAAACCTATATGCGGGTCAAGAAGCAACAGTGAGAACTGGGCATGGAACCACTGATTGGTTCAAAATTGAGAAAGGAGTTCGGCAAGGCTGCATACTGTCGCCCTGCCTATTTAACTTATATGCAGAGCACATCATGAGAAAGGCGGGGCTAGATGAATCACCAGTTGGAATTAAGATTGCTGGGAGAAATATCAACAACCTCAGATATGCAGATGATACCACTCTAATGGCAGAAAGTGAAGAGGAACTAAAGAACCTCTTGATGCGGGTGAAGGAGGAGAGTGCAAAAGTTGGCTTGAAACTCAACATTAAGAAAACTAAGATCATGGCATCTGGTCCTCTCACTTCCTGGCAAATAGATGGGGAAGAAATGGAGGTAGTGACAGATTTTATTTTCCTGGGCTCCAAGATCACTGCAGATGGGAGCTGCAGCCAAGAAATTAAAAGACGCTTGCTCCTTGGGAGGAAAGCTATGGCAAATCTAGACAGCATACTAAAAAGCAGAGACATCACCCTGCCAACAAAAGTGCATATAGTCAAGGCTATGGTTTTCCCAGTTGCAATGTATGGCTGTGAAAGCTGGACCATAAGGAAGGCTGAGCGCAAAAGGATTGAGGCCTTTGAATTGTGCTGGAGGAGACTCCTCCGAGTCCCTTGGACCGCAAGGCGATCAAACCGGTCAGTGCTAGAGGAGATCAAGCCAGACTGTTCTTTAGAAAGCCAGGTACTGAAGATGAAACTGAAATACTTTGGCCACCTAATGAGAAGGAAGGACTCCCTGGAGAAGAGCCTAATGCTGGGAACAATAGATGGCAAAAGAAGAAGGGGACGGCAGAGGATGAGGTGGCTGGATGGAGTCTCTGAAGCAGTTGGTATGAGCTTAAGTGGACTCTGGGGGATGGTGGAGGACAGGAAGGCCCGGAGGAATGTTGTGCATGGGGTCACGATGGGTCGGACATGACTTCATGACTAACAACAACAAGTATTTATAGATACAGATTATTGGTCACTTTGCCTGACTAACCTCAGTAATGGCTTACACTAACGATTAATACTGTAGAAACAGCTAGATACTAAAAATTCTGGAATTGCTAATATTGCCATTCAGCCATAGCTCTCATATTTGGCATGCAAGGTAGAAAATGACAAAAATTCTTCAGCAGCTTCCACCAGTTGATTCTAAATAAAAGTTGCCTTATCTGTCCATGCCTGTTGCAAAAATTTCTTAGACTTTTCTCATATTAAATTGACTTCATAGGGCAATCCAGAAACAAAATAAGCATGTGCCCCTCATTTTATATCAAATAAAGTTGGCACATGTTATTAAAATGTAATTTCTAAATTGATAAATTGGAACTTACAGGACTATCAGGCATGCTTTGCCAATGGTATAATATATGTAATAGCTAATGTGACATCAGTGGAAGATTGAGCCCATAGCAAGTGGTAGACTGCAAGCTTTGATATTCAATCCCTGCTATTTCCAGGGATGACTGCGGAAGATTTTGATCTGAAATCCTAGAGAGTTGTTGCCAGTCAACATAGACCAGTCCTGAGCTACATAGACCAGTTATCCTACTCAACATAGGAAAGCTCCCTAGGCAGACCACCTAGACATTTACAGTCAGGGCTGGTGCAAGGTAATATATCACCTCAGCCCTCCTCCTCCTCTTCCTTTCCACTTTGCCTTCCCCTTGACCTTTAAAATTGTTTTTACTGTCGTATTACTGGCAGCTGTATGAGAGATCCTAGGTTTTCATTTTTGCTGTGGCAAACAGGGCTGTGGAGTCAGAGTCAGAAGCAATTCTTGGGTTACTGGAGTCAGAGTTGGTAAAAATGTACTGACTCCGACTCCTAATAAATTTGCATGGTAATGTTGAAGGTACCATAAATTGAAGAGTTGCAAGTCGAAGGTTTTATGTTCCAGTTCCGCAGGCCTAGTGACAAATATATCACGCTGTCTCCAGCATTTTCTGCCATTGTGGTGTAGGTGCTCCCTGGGGTCACTCCATTAGCCTTTGCTCTGAAAAGGGCCTCTTCCTCATAGTGAGACTTGAGTGCTTCAGGGGTCTTGACAGAAGTGTCACTGTTTTTCTGCTTGGTAGATGCTGTTTAAGATTACCAAGCTTTTACTATGGTAGTAAAAAAAAAATGGCGGCAGCTGGAGTGTGTAGATGTAGCAGCAGTGCTAAGTAGCTCTATGGATGGCAGTTGAGGGCTGCTTCCTTTCTTGATCTACCATAGGAGCCACTCATCTCATTATGATTTATGGTAGGGCTGGCCCTGTCTGCATTGGTGTCAGGGAAAAAGTTACCTTAGAAATAAGCATTTTCCTACTCGTACTTGGAAGTAGTGACTGCTTTGTGTGACACGAATGCTGGAAAGATGAAGTTACTAAATTTTGTGGACTTGCTTGTGTAGTAAGGGAATGTGCAGTGTTTTCAGGAGGCTTACAGAATTGGGCTCAAGGAGCTCTTTAAGGAGGCAATTCTCTATCATCAGGGACACAATAGAAAAGACCAATTGGCTACATAGAACTTGTAACTCGTGTGTGTGTGTGTGTGTGTGTGTGCGCGCGCGCGCGCGCGCGCGCATGTGTGTGGGGGGGATGGGGGTTATATGGGGAAATAAACCTTTACAAAGCTGAGAATGACTTGCATGTTTTTTTCTTGGAACACTTTCGAACAAGCACCTATTCAGAGTGTTTCCTGAGCATGAATGAAATAATTTCCTCAATTCCTCTGAATTGGGACTAATGAAAAAGAGCTGTTGGGGCACCCAAACTACTGAAAGCAGTTGATGTTTGGAGACTATATTCTTTCACTAAAGGATTACAAAGCCATAACTATTAGGGGACTTACATTATTTTTCTTTTAACATCTTTACAGTGACAAATACCAGATTCCCAGCTTTATAGTGCTTAGAATCCCCACTGGACTTAGAAGATTGAACAGTTGTCACCCAGCTGGAAATATTCCGATTTTGGATAAAATGCTTGAGAGGGGAAGAAGGTTCAACTGTCAAGTGCTTTGGATGGAATGGTGTTTTTTTTACTCATTTCATCTCAGCTTAAGTTAGGGCTTGGGACAGAGGCTGCCTTGGTTGCCCTGATGGATACGGTCCTGTTGAATCTTGTCATCTTCCATTACCTCTTTAAATCATTGAATATAGTAACTTGTTAGATTGACTCACTGGGTTGGGGGATACTCATACTTGTAAGAGTGTTTTAGACAGTAGCAGGAGAGAATAGTTGTTTGACTCTGTAGCATTTGTATTGTGGAGTCTTGCAGGCGTACATCTTATCCCCTATGTTAGTATCTGTATTGTATATTTGTACAGTTATTAAATAGCAATAGACCTGACACCCGGCTGTATTACCCTTTACTGTTAGATCCAGGTGTGGAGGTGCTGAACTGTTGTCTAGACTCAATGATGGCCTGGAAGAGAGCCAGTAAATTGAAGTAGAGGCACCATGGGGTTGATGGTTTCCAGGTCTGTGAAGTTGATGTACAAACCAGTTTAGTATGGGGCTGCATTTCTGATGAATAAGTAAATGTGCAGCTTGGCAGTGCTTTTGAATCCAGCATGGTCTCTTGAGGCTCAAGTGGTCCCAGTGGCTTGGAGCACCTTTTTGCAGCTTTATCCAATTTGCTTGCTGTAGCCTTTCTTGGATAGGAATAATTCTGCTGCAGTACTTGTAATATCCCAGCAGGATTGCTGCAACGTGTTTTAAATGGGGCTGTCCTTGAAAATGGCTTGGAAGTTTCACCTAATATAGAATTTGGCTGTTAGAATTCTGGCTGATTCCCTAGACAGAGCCATATTATATATATTTCAAAGGAGTGGAGCCATATTATATCTATTTCAAAGGATACATTACCTGCCTATTTACTACCAAGCTCAAATGCTGCTAACCTTTAAATTGCTAAGCAGCTGGAAATCCAAATACTGTACGTGAAGGAGCACTTTTTCCCATATCAATCTGTCTGTGCTTTAAAATAGTCTTTATGCCTTCTACAAGATACATGCTGTTATCATGTTCAAAAGAATAGGTTCTCTTTGCAGTGGCTGTCCAACTTTGGCATGCCCAGTCATGGGAGATAAACCTTGTGTCAGTGCTGCAACTAGGCACCAGGTTAAAACCCTTTTATCTGCACAAAAAACTGTAAGAAAGAAGAGGAAGACCAGCTAGGAGATGGTTTGACTCCATAAAGGAAGCAATAGACATGAATTTCCAAGAGCTGAGCAGGACTGTGAAGGACAGGTCAGTTTGGAGCATGTTCATTCATAGGGTCACCATAATCCAGAGACAATTTGATGGCACATTTGATTTTTTTTTTAAAATATATTCTTTAAATACGAGTTGAAATATTTTAATGCCACTTGATTCTAATGGTTTGTGTTTAGATTGTGTTAAATCTATCTGTGCAGATATATTCTTTGAGATGAAGGTGTGGTATATAAAACTTCAGAACAATAGATTTAGGCATTACTACTCTGCTTTATTAAGAAAACATGAAAAAATGAAGATTTTCTAACATTTTCTTTTTTTCCCTTCCTTTCATAGCTTCTCCCCTCCTGCTTTTTGCTAACCGACGAGATGTCAGACTGGTAGATGCTGGAGGAGTGAAGATGGAGTCAACAATTGTTGTCAGTGGTTTAGAGGATGCGGCTGCCGTTGACTTCCTGTATTCACAAGGTGTTATTTACTGGACAGATGTGAGCGAAGAAACGATCAAACAGACATATTTTAACCAAACTGGGAATCTGGTGCAAAATGTCATAGTTTCAGGTCTGGTTTCTCCAGATGGCCTAGCATGTGACTGGATTGGGAAAAAACTGTACTGGACGGACTCTGAAACTAATAGGATAGAAGTTGCTAATCTCAATGGAACATCTAGGAAAGTTCTTTTTTGGCAAGACCTTGACCAGCCAAGAGCAATAGCACTTGATCCAGCTCATGGGTAAACATCCTTTCTTTAAACTTTTTGCATTGGTTTTCAGGATCGTGGTTATTTAGTTAAGATTTTTCTGCTTCTCTACACAAAATATAATCTCTTGTTTCAAATTCTGTTTTCGCAAAGTATTTTTTCTCTGAACATATGTTTAAATTGAGACAAAACATGGGAAGAAATGGCAGGCCATATGCAAGTGCATTAACTTAAATGCCAAAGAAAACGTTAAATCAGTCTAATTTTTCCAACTTGGGCTTCTCTAAAAACTAACTGCACGAATTTTTAATCTGCGAATAACATGACCAGTTAAAGCTGATGTGGGAAGTTTTGTGTTTAAATGTATGATGGGTTTATTTATATACATCTTTGGTCTTAATAATTCTTTCAGCTTTGTTTGGAGTAAAGAAAGATAGTTTGGAAATATAGAGAGTTTTTTTAAGTGCTGGAAGTTAAAAGAAGTTGCTCAGACACTCTGCAGTACAGAGAGAAACAGACAGGCACCTGCCAACTCATAATTTGCTTAAAGAAAGAAGCCTTGGCTGACCTGGCACAGGTTTTGCAGTTTTATAACAAATATGTACTTAGGATAAAGTCTTACCTGTTACAGATCATTGCATTAGCACCTTGCTAATATGTAAACAGTGTTGTCTCAGGTGCAATGCTGCTTGTAAAAAAGGTAATCTTTGCTTTGACACATTCTAAATAAATAGAATGCTGGAAGGGACATAAGCAGGGAGTTGAACTATTAAAAATTTTAATTTATTCCAAATTCATCAGTTCTTTCTAACTTTATGGGTCAGAATCTAATTTTAAAAATGGTTCAGTAAGTAGTTCAAATACATTTCATGCAGATTACTATAAATGGCTTGTGTACACAATTCTATGTGTATTTACTGAGATGTAAGTCCCACTGTGCTCCATGGGGTTTATTCCCAGAAAAGTGAGTAGGATTACAGCCTTAGTCTTGTAATGCCATTCCTATGAAATTTATACAATAATAAGTGATTAACTTGAGGAATTATTTCTGAAATGGTTAGAACTTGGGGAACTTTTCTTTGTGTTCTGTTTTTCTCCTCCCTCATCCCTGTGCATCCAAAAAACAGTCACACTGCAGTAGACTTTGCTGAGAAGTATTTGATGAAGTATGGGTTCCAACAGTTTGAAATAGAGGACAGTTTAAAAGAGAGGTTATAGAAACCTTCCTGTGCCCAGTTAATTGCACTAGGGAAGGTCGGAGGGCTGTGTGAACCTGCTTCTGTTCTTTAACCGTAATTAAGATGATTGCTATTACATTTGCACCAGGCCCTTTTTTGTGCTGGCAAAATATGGGACCTTTATCATTTTGAATTATGTTACATGTATTGTTCAGCTTGAAATTCTTCCAAAGTCAGTTATGACCTTGTTGCAACCAAAATCATGTTGCAGTTCACTTCTGGTGTAGCCACTTAGAAATCATGCTACCAGTTATTAGAATTACATCCAAGTATTCTGGATGACCACACTAAATAAATGCGGTTGTACTGCCATCTAGGAGTAGCTATTTCCCAGACACAGGTTCTCCCCTTAGGCTGGCTTTTCAAAGGCAAGTGATGCTCATGGTATGGAGAAAGTGGATAGGAAGACATTCCCCCCCCCCCCAATAATATTAAAACCCAGTGGGGTTGTTCTATGAAGCTGAGGGCATTCAGGACAAATGAAAAGGGAGGACTTCTTCACTTAGTGCATGTGAGTGAATGATGCAATTCACTTCCACAAAAGGAAGTGATGCCCATCATTTTGGATGACTTTATAAGGGGATTGGAAAATGCCTGGAGGAGAAAAGTGTTAATGCCTTCTGGTCCTGATGGGCCATATTGCCTTCTAGGATCAGAGGCAATATGCCTATATACAGCAGTTGCTGTGGAACATGGGTGGAAGGGTATTGTTGCAGTTACGTCTTGCCTGTGGGATCCCATGAGCTCCTGGTAAATCACTGAGTGGACAGAATGCTGGACTAGATGGATCCTTGGTCCAGTAGCACTTTTCATATGTTCATTCCCCACTCTCAATAGTACAGTGGTTCCAAACCAACTTTGAAGGGAATGGTAACACAATTATCCCCTTATTTGAGCTGGTTCATCTGACTAACTTAAAGAATGTTTTGTCCTCTGCATTAGCTGTGCCAAGCCCTTAACTGTGGTGCATCCACGGTTGTTTCAGCCCATCTCAAAGGCATCAGATTTTCTTATGGAAAGGAAAGGAACTAACTTGTTTTCCATGCAGTTACTGTCTTGTCCTGAACCTACTATGCAATGTAGGTTTCAGGCTCATGGATATGGGCATGATAGTAGGAATCAAGAAATATATTGACCAGAGATTCTTAAAGTTCTGTGACACATTTTTTTAACTTTTGCATTGCATTTTAGCTGGAAAGCTTCCATTGCAATGGGAATAGCTTGGATTAGTATATCAAGCTGTTCTTCCACACAGGGTGTTCTGCGGATCTGTACTCCAGCTTGGAAGTATAAGAGCCTGTTGACAGCTAGGTGGTAGAGCCAGTAGCTTTCCTAGCTCACAGCACAAAGATTTTGATCTTTTAGCTTCAAGGACTTGCACAGTTCTATTTCCAGATAAGGCTCTTGAAGAATGACACATTTGGTTTGGTTTGACTTAAAACATTTATATCCTGCCCTTCCATTGTAAAAACAATGCTCAGGGCACCTTACATCATATTAAAACAATTAACAAAACATATAATGTAACCCAGCAACAAAACCAGAGACAGGCCACAGCAGGTAAAACAATCTTAAAGACAGGGGAATCTGCACCATAAAATAATTTTGCCCAGCAGACTAGAAGCCGGCCCAATCAAAAATGCCTTGATCAAGCAGTAGAAGGTCTGGTCACAGTAAATGGGGCCAGGTAAACCTTCCTAGTTGGGAAGTACCGCAGCATGTTCTACCCTTCTTCTGTTATTTTGCTGAAACAAGCAGGGCAACCTGTGGTGGGAAGACTTTTGTCTGGTTACAAGTTCAGTGTAGGCAAATATGATTGTGTCACTGGGGTATTAATGGAGAAAGTTTAGCTTCCAGTTAAATGTTTATCTGCTTACATCTAACTGAGTGAATAATTAGATGTAAGTGGGAGTACCTAATTCACATCTCATATTAATTGTGCAAGTCTTAGGGGACACAGGTAGTGCAGCGGGTTGAACTGCTGAGCTGCTGGGCTGTTGATTGGAAGGTTGGCAGTTCGAATCCACCCAACGGGGTGGATGCCTTCCACTTTGTCCCAGCTCTTGCCTACCTAGCAATTAAAAAGCATGCAAATTTGAGTAGATAAATAGGTGCTACTTTGATGGGAAAGGTAACAGCATTCCGTGCACCTTGGCATTTAGTCATGTCAACCACTTGACCACAGAAGCATCTTCGGACAATGCTTGCTCTTCATCTTACAAATGGTGATGAGCACCAGCCCCAGAGTCGGACAGGACTAGCATATATATGCGGGGGAACCTTTACCTTTTTATGCAAGTCTAGGAGAATTTTTGCCCAGTACCTGTTTGATAAGTGCCATTCTAGACATTTCCTGAATATAGTAGAGCAGGAATGCTAATCTTAACACAAAAGCAATTTCTTATATCTGTGATCTAGAACACATTGATTGAAATGGGAGGGACCTGTGTCTGTTAGCACTCTTGGTATTTGTTTGTTTATTGCAGGTGAGTAATGGAGGTTATGCAAGTTATCTGTCCTGAGCATCTCCCATTAGTAAAGTGTTTTTTGGAGTTGTCTTTGGCTTTTAAAGTATGGCCTATTCCAGAAATCTGGACTGACTTTCCCAGTGTTTGTTGCTCCACCTGATTATGGGGGCACCTGATTGTATACGGTGTGACACTGCTTAATGTCTTCTGGACTTCTGCACAGCTCTTCTCTTTTTCAAGCATACCTCTTTGTATGGCATGGCTACTGTAAAGGGTAGAAATATGGAAAGTGGAGGGATGGCACATGAATTCTTCTGCTGATCAAAAAATGTTTACACTTGCTCCCTCTTCCCAGTAGCTTCTATTGTTATTTGTTTATCAGGGCATTCAGGCCATTGGGTGCACATATAGTTCCTAAGCTGACTGTTTCATGCTTAGTGATTCCACATGGATACCACATAATCTGACAACCATTAGGGATTGGGTCTGAAGATATAGATGTGTGTGGTGTAGTGGTTAAGAGCACAGGTCTGGAGCTTAGGTGATCTGGATTCTAGTCCTCACTCAGTCACGGGGCCAACTGAGTGACTTTGGACCAGTCAAGGAATCTCAGGCCAACTTTCCTCACAGGGTTGTTGTTGTGGGAATAAGATTGAGAGCTTCAGGAGGAGAATAATGTAAGTCACTTTGAGTTCTTTAAAAAAGAAAAAGAAAAAAGTAGAATATAAATCTAATAAATATAGATGCTTTAAAAATAGATTGAGCAAAGCATTTAAAAGAATCAACAAAGTTGGTTCCATATTTCCTTTTTGTAGAAATGTTAAGTCTTTATGTCAGGGTGCAGAAACCCACTTGGAAGCTTTTTCTTTAGGGTTTGTTCTAAATCATGGGTCCTCAAACTACAGCCCGCAGGCTGAATCCTGTGCAGCAGTTTGCTCGCAAGGAGATAGTTTTCTACGAGCGAGTCCAAAACAATCTTTTTGCAAGCAAGCCAGTGCCTCACCGCATGGGTGTGCACACCTGTGCCTCCCACCCGCACCACCTTGGCGGCCTGTGCCAATCACCAGCACCTTTCAACTGGCTCCCTGTTCAAAAAGTTTGAGGACCCCTGTTCTAAACCTTAATACTGGTTACTCTCTTTAAAAATCATCAGAAGATTTTTGGGGAATATATTGCAAAAATAGAAATTGCACATAGAAATTCTAGATCAGAACCACCCACCGACGAACTGATTCTAAAAAAGATCTTGGACGGCGCAGAAACGGATAGATTGGCTTTGTCATTGGAAGAGAAAGAAGATACTGATTTCTATCAAACTTGGGACTCT